GTATGAAATATATCAGTTAAAATGCGACCCATAAATAAGATACATTTACTAATAAGGTCATTATTTCAACCAAATAATTTTTGTAATGCTTACTTTATACGAGGTTATTAAAAACCCTGAAACACTAATTTGGCTGTCTGATCTTAAGCAGAACATGCTCTTGGGTATCAAATAAGTTGGGAGATATAAAAACCATATTCAGACGAAAGGGTATAAAGCTACGTATATAAGGGGAGTTGACGATAGTAAAGCTGAAGTCTTCTCGTTTCACAGTAGTTGTAAGTTGACCCTTATCGTCGTAAGCCAGTAAAACATCCAGATATGAAACAGGTGTGGCAGACTCTGCGATGTCCACTGTGTTCATTTTTTTACTATGTTGAATAGATATACACCTTTGCTTTCAAACTTAGAGAAACAAAGTCTAACATATCTGTTTATTATTATGAAATTTTTACAAGGAAAATCTTACATTAAAATTCTGTGATGAAGGTGATGATTTTAACTCTTTCATCGTCAACTTAACTCATTTATTTAAGAAATAAGGTATCATTTTAAAACAACTATCTGGATATAAACACGGGTTGGTCACGAGATGGCTTTATGATGAATTTGATCTCGTACCAACCCCTATTTATAGCCCGATAGATGTTTTAAAATGATACCTTATTACTTATATTTACATTTGTGACTTATTCGTACTTTATATTTACCTGATTGTGACTTTTAACGTGTGAAATGCATTATTTTTCAAACCCAACGGCATGTATGTAATCCACTGAACGCGCGTCGACCCTTTTATCCAAACGCACATCTATGACCTCTTGATACCATACTGGTATTTATCTCAAACGTGCTGGAGATACAGCCCATTAGATAATCTTATGCTTTATCAACGGTTAGATGCTTTATCAATAGCACTTCCGGTTTTGACATGATCCCTCGCTTCAAGATTTTATTTTATTGAAACTTTTATTTGTGAAAATTATTGCACCAATAAAATGAATGATAAAGAGCGATAATATCGTTAAAAGCAAGAAAAAGACTCGATGTCAAAGAAGTGTCTTATTTTATCAAGGAACCTGTATTGGCTACTTGAAGACAGATGTTACACACCCCCCCCCCCCCTTTAAATCGTTTTCGGAGAAAGTCAAGCTAGCCTAGCAGGTAAGTTGTTGTTAAAAGATTCCTTTAACATCTTCAATAATGCTTTCTTATATTATACTACGTATGCCTACCGAGTAATGTAGGTTTAACTTACCATAAATCAACAATGAATCTTCTTTCGAGGCATGTCAACATCAACGGTACGACGTCATCAAGTTATACGTCATCAATTTGAAATTGCAATCATTCATACAGTTTCGCAGGGGAAGTCTCAAAGTTTTGTTAAAACGAAAGTCGTATGAGATAAATAGAACATCTATAATTGTGTGATTTGAAATTGGCTTTATCCAACTCGTTGAAATGATGTAAAATCTCTCGGCAAGCCTCGCGAATATATACACCATTTCAACTCGTTGGACAAAGCCAATATCAAATTAAGAAATAAATAACAAGTTTATAAACTTCAATGGGAATTGAAGTGGGTCGGTCACGTGATCAAATCCTGTGAAGGCCGAAGGTTATAAACTTGTTATTTATTACTTATATATACATTTGAGACTGACAATTGAATATTTTCGAATTTAAATCATTGCACTAACCGTCCGTCGTAAATTTTGAAAAATGACGCAAGGTGTAAATCGGCTTGCATGGCGGTTACGCTTCGAATTCATTAGGCTAAGGAATCTATTTCGAAGGGAATATTTTGTGAAAGGCTACTTGTGATCAGTAATAGTGAACAGATTGTTGTCTGGAAATATTTTAATCGTGAAAAATGATAATAGATGCTGAAAAGACACAAGAAACACGTCCGAAGTTTGATGATAAAAAGTTGGAGGAATTTCGGTCGCTGGAAAGGGATGGATGGATCCGATGGATTGAGACACTTGTCCGAGCCAGTTAATTTGCAATTTGATCAAAAACATTCCACGGTTTCAGTAACAAAAGGCATACTTATCGTAAAACACTAATAAACATGGAGACACTGGCGACATCTTAATTTACATTGAACTATGAAAACGCTGAGGTGTTTGGCAGCTGTTTGGCATGATTGCAAAGATATTTTCCAACAGATTTACACATTTATCGTGAGTAAAATTTAAAGATAAAATAAAAGTTTATCCTGAAAATTCAACCAAAGGTCTATCCAAAAAATAAGGATGAACATTAGAGACTGGGCAGCTGACAAAAGTGAAGAAAAATGTAAACATACGCTAGGCTCCTAGTTTTCTCTATGTACATACACACTCACAGGTTGAATCGATGGCCCCAAAACTGTATGAAATACTTGTTTACATTTAAAATAAAATGATTATCATTTTACTTGCTTATTTTATTCATTTTTATACATGAAAAGCAAGTAGAGCAGGTCATTTTATAATTTATGTACCGGTAGATATTATTGCACCGTGTGATTAGGTCACGTATTGACCTCTGACCTCTGACAAACTTCATACAGAATTGAAGATATTTTCTCTCTGTATGTTTATATAATGGAGAGATACCACAAATGTATATATTCACACAATATAGATATATAAAATACATTGGTTACTGTCTTGAAATATAAGCGATATTTGGGCGAGGGTAAGAAAACATGATAGAGGGCGTGGCTTGCCGAGCCCTCTTACGTTTTCGACCCGAGCCCAAATATCGTTTATATTTCAAGACAGTTATCATGTATTTTGTTTATCCTGCAACATATTTTTACCATTTGAACGTCCAAAACAAGTATTTCCGACAGATTTAGGCACGTCTCTGCAGTTGAAACTATGACGCCATGGCGTAAACATTGCAGTATACGAGACATCACAATGCTTTTAGAACGTCGGAATACATGCAAGAGGCTTTATTGGGGCAGTGACCGGATAAAGCTTTGGTTTATTAGGTTACCTTTATTAGGTCAATGCAGTGGGTAGTTGCAGGATAAAGAGGATATATATATCCCACAATTAAGTGCAGTTATGACGTCACAATGGTTTTTGCGTTAGCGTGAAGAAGTAAAATAAAGTGGAGTCCTATATAAAACAGTGTAGCCGTATCAGCCTTGCAGGGCTGATACGGATATCAGCCCCGCAAATCCAAAAATGATACGGCTATTGTGAAGTCAGCCATATCGCATATGCAAAAAACATGGATAAAAAGAATCTCCCATGATTTTTAGTTGAATATGACTTTTATCCAACTCGTATGTTTCTTAAACATTTCAACAAAATATTACATTTTCTACATATTCATTCTGCGTTTCTTATTTATTTAAAAATATACGAATAATACTGGCTATTTCTAAAGCATAGATAATCAAATTGGTATTTTTTAGTGTGTTTTAATAAGTTCTATTGGTGAATTAAATAAATATTCGTATGAGTTTTAAGATTTTTAATTTGATAAAACTCATTAAAGATAAAGTATTTATGACCAATTATTAACATTTTTTTTAACAATGTATTTTGAAAAGTGGTGATTTTTGCTTTTCTTTTAAAAAATTAGACATGATTAAATCCCTTAATCTGAATGATTAAAATTTTTATCCCATGTTTACCCCTTTATCCCGTGGATATAGCTTATGTGAAACCAATTTCGTATTCCATAGTTAAGTGCATTTATATCGTCACTATGATTTTTGCGTTAGCGTGATGAAGTAAAAAAAAAAAGTGGGATCCTAGATATAAAAACAGTGTGAAACATCGGTTGTGGAGAAATAATCATGGGATAAAAAGAATCTCCAATGGTTTTTAGTTGGATAGGATTTTTATTCAACTCGTTGTGTGTTTTTATCCCCTCGCCAAGGCGAGGTGATAAAAATCACACAATTCGTTGGATAAAAATCATATCCAACTACAAATAAAGATCCTATATATATCTTATAATAATTTAGTTGTGTTTTTAAATACTAGACCCCTTCTGAAATCTTCTTTTAAATTAAACACTAAAACATTTCATAATGTGCTGACAGATTTTTTATGCTCATGATTTTTATTTTAATCTTTTAATCTAAAAATTGACCTCATAGTCACTCGGGATTACCTCAGATCATATCCCCATTTTTAAACCTCAGGGATACTCAGCATCAGCTCATTGTCCTCAGAACCAACTCAGTACCCCCTCAATGCCAACAGAGTAAAACTCAGTGCCTCTCAGTACCCCCTCAATGCCAACAGAGTAATACGCAGTGCCTCTCAGTACCCCCTCAATGCCAACAGAGTGCAGTGCCTCTCAGTATTACCTCAGTGACCACATTAAAAACCTCAGTGCTCCTCAGGACTACCTCATTCTCTCAGTAGCAGCTTCAGTACCACTCAGGGTCTCCTCAGTAAAACTCAGTACTTCCTCAGGGTTTTGTTGAGTTCTAAGTGCCTTTTAATACAGTAGTGGCATAGTTACTTAACCAACATCAATGCTAAATACAAGTACTAGTATATTAATCATCCTTTGCATCCATTTTGCCAAATGCAAATTTATACCGCCTTGTACTATGGAAGTGATAGTTATGATTAATTGTCAAGCAATATTTACAGATGGAAAATATAATTTAGTAAAATAATGGTTTTTTTCTTATCACAAGCTCAGTAGAAAGCGAAAATTCTTATTCGTAAAACAAGGATGTATAGTGTGTACCACATACAAACTATAAAACCTGAACAGCTGAACTAAAGCACACTTTAATTGGTTTAATTTCTAATTGTTTCCCATTTGAAGAGATATAAAATAATTCAATCTCTTCTCATCTCTCTAAGTGACCTCACTTAAACAAAAGTATCTAGCTTTGTTATTACAGAAATACTTTTAATTTAGACAAAAGCTAAGCTTCGTCACTTAATTTACACTACAAAAATCCTTTTAAAAATACTTACATTAATTTCAATCGGATATATTAAGTAGGTAGAACTTTCCAGATCCTCATTAAAACAACAGCGTTTCGCGGAAATTTGGAGGATAATAAAGATGAACAGGACAGGTATTGATATATCAACGGCTCCTCCATACACGGTTCTGTGGTGGAGTCACCTGCTGGGGAACCCTCAGTCCCTGTACAATTTATGTTCCTGGAGGCAGGATGGGACGATTAGTGTTTCAGACGACGTCGTATACGTGACAGAAGTGGGGACGAAGAGAAACGGGTAAAAAATATATTTGGTTAAAATATTCAGTGTCAGAATCGATATATTTATTATCTTGACCACATGTAAGTAACAAACTTCACATAACAAAATTATGAAGCGTAAGCTAGGGATGAGCAACCGTTGGTCATATCACTAAATGATAGACTTATTTCAATAAATCTTTAAAAGAAACATTACTTTTACAGTTTTTGATCATAACGGTTGGCAAACCTATTCCTTCGAGAATCGGAATCAGATAGGTTAACTAAAAAAAAAAGAAATTAAGCTCTGCAAAACTTTGGATTGATAACTTTGACCGAAACTTAATGAAGACATAGTGCCTTATTTGCACAAGCGTGATGTCTTGTCTAATCATCTAATAAAACATCTAATTTTAAGAATGTCTGTTGACACGATACCTGATCCCACCTCTAGATCTGATGTTTTGGAGTGCTCCGTTCCTCTTTAGTTTTGTTTAATAGTCTTTTGAGTTCGAATTCTGTTCGTTATCTCCACATATTACATTTTGTCTTTTAGGGCTTGTCAACTCGAAAATTTTACAATTTAGTAAAGGTTTTTTGCTAGCAAAATATTATTCAATGTCAAAAGTCACTTCACATTTACGAAGAGAACTTTGGATAATAATAATGATAATAACATTAATAATACTTTCTTTAGAGAAGGTAACCCGATTAGTGCGAGCACTAGTCTTCCTTGGGGCCTTCTCTAAAACACATATACAATGCATATATACAATAAATAAAATTACAATTATGAGACAATAAAAAAATCAATAGTATATTACAAAGAAATAAAACATCAACATTTCAGTATAGAGAGAGAGAAAAAAAAATCACATCGAACCATTGCGTTTCATAAGCAGAAAAACTTCAACATTTCTTTTAAATATTGCAAGGGATTACGATTTTCTGAAATTAATTGGTAACTCATTCCAGATAATAATCCATGAATATTGTAAAGAATTTCTAAATAAGTTTGTTTCATATTTTGGTAATCGAAGTTCAATTTTTTTTCTGAGCGTAAAGTGTATGATACAGAACTTTGAAATTCAAAAAAGATTATGCATTATACCATGAAATATTTTGAACATTAGAATGCTTTTCTGTAAATATAAAAGTTCATAAACCGTTAACCAACCTAAAGTGTTAAATAAAGGCATTGAAGGTGAATCATATTTTTGAATGATTCATAGGTGTTGTGATCGATCTCGGGAAATTAAGGTGGACAGTTCCGAGGATTTGGAGCGACTGAGGAATGATCTTCTGACAAAACCTATTCTTTTTCACGCAAAAGTTCAACACTTACAAGAAGATGATTACGTAGTTTTTAAACACTTGAAGACATGGACAGGTAAATACCTTTATGTTTTATAAATATATATTAATTTTATCATTTCTTCCTAGCTCTCTCTGATTGGCTCAAATTTGATCATATAATTAAGTATATAACAGGATATAGACTTGAGTTACTATTTATAGAATCTGAAATGCATATCGACTTGACGTTTCTTAAAATGGAGATCATTTTCTGTAAAACAAAAAATAGTACTGATTTCAAAATTATAACTTATACAGTGTTTCTGAAAAAATATATATATACTTCATCTTGGATTAATATTTTTTTAATGTTCTGTAATTGATGAGACGTAACAATGCCTTGAATTAGGATCTATTTTTTATTTAAACATATTGGATATGTTTGTCAAAAAGTGATACAAAACACAATCAAATAGATGTAGTATTTTGAATAAATAAATCATCTAAGTTACTCCATCGATATAAAGAAAACATGATAATATTAAACTGCTTAAATTACTTAAGTATTTTGATCTCTAGTCTCTAAGTGTTGAAGAGAGAAAACTTGTGCCTCGTTCCCCTTATTTTCAAATTATGTTTTGTCAGAATATGTAAAAAAAAAAAATACATTAAATGTAGCCGGTCAATACATAGATATATCGACTTCACAAAAAAGCATATCGACCTCGCACTTTATGCTCAGTTGATACGCTTTTCTGTGAAGTCGATATATCTTTGGACCGACCTCATCAAAGGGCTATATTTATATTATATTAATTATAAAATAATATAATAATAATATATAAATACATATTAAAGGTACTTGGACACAGATTTGAAGTTATAATTTTTTTTATAATATTACGACTTATATATTTTAATAGCATTTCACACAAAAATTAATTAAAAATCTTATTTCGTTTAAAAGATATTGAAATTTCAAATTTTTCGGCGGGTTTGATTGACATAGGAAAAGTTGCAATCTCGTTTTGTATAAATGAAAAATATTAATACTATAATCCAGATAATTCAGAGTAGACACGTTCGAAAGCAAAACAAACACACAATATATTGTCAGTCCGTGCAGTTGTGGTAAGCAGACTGTGACGATGGAACGCACCCGGTGAATTCTAAATATAAACAAAAACAGAACTCGAGCCCTGTTTACAAAAACTGTGTACATAACACGAGTGTGCTCGATTTGCTAAACTCTGTACGCATCTCTTAGTTTGGAATGACGATACTTGTGAAGGTGTTTTGCTTTCTAACATTTCTACTCTGAATAAAATTATTTTCTTGATAAAAGTTTTAATATTTCTCATTAAAACACATCAAAATTGCCACTTTTCCTAAGGATTAAGAATAAAGTTAAAATTTGTGAAAGTGCAAGGATGTGTCAATCAAACCCGCCAAAAAATTTAAAGTTTTAATAACTTTTAAATGATATAAGATTTTAAATTAATTTTTGTGTGAAATGCTATTAAAATATATAATTCGTGATATTGTACAGAAAAAATATGAAAATATTAACTTCAAATCTGTGCCCAAGTACCTTTAAACACATAACTGATTCATGAATTAGTTTATCCGTGATCGGTTGATCTTTTTTAATTCCATATGAGGCATCCGGCAAATGTAACTATTAGCGAAAACATGACAAGCATTATTTAGACGAATATATTTAGACGAGATGCAAACATTTACATTAAAAATAGTTACTTTCATTCATATGTCGATTCGATATATCCTAGTGAGGTGAACTTGAATAAAAAAAATTGTGCAATTTCTTCAAAAGCCTGAATACGTATGATTTTTATTTCTAAAATGTGTTTGGTGATGAAATTTGAATTGGGAAATGCATAGTAGGTGTTTTTATTCGTATTTCCTGAAAAGTTTGTTTGAGATTTTCTAATATTCCATGTACAAAATGATTAACTTTAAAGGTGAAGTTTAAAATTATCGTGGGTAAAAACTCGTTACTTTGAGAATTCAGAGACATTTTTATCAGTATTTTCAAATAGTCAATGTCTGATTTTCAGAACCTGAGGATCGGAGTACCTTACGCTTATATTTTGCTTTGGTTTCTTTTCCCTCACATTAGTTACGCTGTAAAAATCGTAGTGATAGTTTATCTTATACATGTATAATTTATCTGTCTGGTGAGATTTTTTTTTTCAAATAGAACCTTTGTATAGGGTTTTCTTTACACAACATAATCAGTTGAGAAATAATGTGGAAAAAATCATTTTCTAAGGACACATATTTATTTAAATCAATTGAATTTAAAAAAGTGATTTTTGTAAGTTTAAACGTATAAAATTTATTTTGAAGACTTTTCATGATGCACACTTTGATATCTCGTGCCAATCATTCCTTTAAAAGAAATACTTGTTATCTTTTTCAAATTAAATTAATATCAGTTAGCATTTTTATGAAGTCCTGGTGTCTTAGATGACCAGGAGATGAAAGTCATTTAAGCATCGTAGACTACTTAATGAAGTGCATGAAATTGTTTTCCAAGACATCGTCTTTACCCTGTGTTATTATTTTCTGCTTCCTTTAGCTGAGTTAGCCGTCCTCGTTAACACAAAATTTCCAACTATTCAAGAAGTTTTAACAAGCAAGCTGAATCAAGCCACACAGGCTATGCAGGAAGGCAAAAGATTTTGTCTGAAGGTACATGAAACAACTATAAGATCATTTACAATGTTTTTTTAAAATTTGTTTTTTATACCCGTACTTTCTATAGAAAGTTCAGGTATATTGTTGTTACTCATGTCCGTCTGTCACACACAAGTGGCAGCACTTGCTTACAACTGATAGTCATTTGTAATGAAACTTATAGAGAAGACGCAGGTGATGAAGGTATATTGCTGCATAAGTAAGGGAAGTTGACGATAGAAAAGAACAGTATTAAAGATCAAAAGTTCATAAAACAATACAAAATAGGAGCAGAAAAATCACGGACCTAAAAAAAGAGGTGGGATCAGGTGCTATGAAGGAGTGAACATTCCCGGGAAAATCCGTCGACAATTCAGTGTTTACATAATGAACCAACACTCAGTATGAAAAACGGCAGTCAGCATTTGACTCAATGATAAATTGTATTTGCTGACAAGGTCATTGTATCGACCAAAGAACTTACGAAATGGTGACTTTAAACGAGACTGCTGATGAACCAATGAAATGAGGAAAATAATAATTCTAGATATCGTAGCCGTGATAAGACTTTACAAAAATGGTCAATCATATTAATACCAAAAGCTTACTTTCACTTCTTCTAAAACATTGAAGAGGATACATGTATATGAAAAAGATGTAACAATTTCTTTTTGACAAAATTACAGATAAATGCAAATTCCATACATATTGGTCATGATATAACAAAAACCTGTACAATAGTGCAATTTTTACTTAGTTTGCCAAACTATTTAATTAATCCGCCATGATTAATTGGTATGGTGATGTCATACACAAATCCTATCGACCTAGTGATAATGCATCATAATGGTGAAACTAGTACGAGAAGGGTGACGCAAGTCAAATGCGAGGCGCAGGTCTATAAATTTTCCAAAAACTGTACACGTGTAGTACATGTTTGAATTTAGATTATAGTTACAAATGATGTTTTAACATATATTTTCTAACCATTTCCAAAAACAGGTGAATTGTGGGAGGGGTGGTTTTGACGAAATTGATTGGATGTGGGTTTTCAAGAAGGTCTTTGCATGCCCAAAACTTATAAAAGTTTCCGCAATTTGATCAATTCTGAAAGTTGGCATCTAATTGTTTTCAATTTATATTTAAAAACACTTTAAAAACACTATAAACTACAATAATATTATTTGTTGTTTTGAAAATAAATTTCAAAAGTTATAAACATGGGCCAAAATTTTATCCACCCCTCTCTCTTTATTTAAACATACTTTACATCATTAATTAAAATCTATAATTTCAGACTTAGTAATGGAGTATGTGAAATTCTCACATAAGAGATCCATGGGCCGCATGTTCACTTGAGCATTTTATGCTCGAATTGACCAATACATTTACTGTGTAAATTATAGACTTGTTGTGGCTTTTTCCTTGGTTATCCAAATATGAAGGAGTGTGAATTTAGAGGCAAAAACCGTAGTGCGGCTATTACTGTCTTATAACATAATCTAGTTTTATAAGTTCTCATTCTTTATACAAGTAGCTTGTAGCTTACAATGAAATATATCATAACAACTCCAAATTTAAGATTTACCTCGTAAAGTTTAAATTCATGATAACAGAATATCTGACCTAAAGAAGAGAACAATTTTTCCAGAAAAAGTCATATTTAAGTATAAATATTCATCAGTTATTTTCTATCGTATATCTCATGTCTGAATTTTAAAATTCGTGTGTTGTACCTAACATCAATTAGTTCAAATTTTAAAGGACTATATGTGTTAAGAGCCAATTTTGGCCCCGCTAAAAATCAGCATTTTTGAATGACATTCAGATATGTTTAACTGATATTTATTTTGTGGAAGAGATTATATTAGATATATTTCATATGCACTCACTGGCTGTAAATGATGACGGAAATAACACAGCCAAAAATACGTCTTCTTCTTGATGTTTTTTCTTATGGGAAACAAAGAGCGCATTGTAAAACATGCATAATTTTTCTGTCAGTAATTAGTATTGAATAGAAACATCTTTGGTAAAAAATTAAAGTATGTTCAAGTTTGCGCTCAATATTTTCTGGAAGAAAAACTGCTTGAAAAAAGCAGCTTTGTGGCAACGCACTTTGAAAAAATTACGCACTTTGAAAATTTTTCAAAGTGCGTTAAAATTGGGACAAAATCAACGCACTTTGAAAATTTTTTTCAAAGTGCGTTAAATTTGGGACCAACTCAACGCACTTTGAAAAATTCACTTTGAAAAAATTTTTCAAAGTGCGTTAAGAGTCTACATCAATGTATTTTACCATGGAGACACTTAACGCACTTTGAAAAAAAAATCATATTTTAGTCATGGAAAGATTTTATTTGTTATTTATCTAACAAGAAACTAAGCCTAACCCTAACCTCAAAAATGAATTGATTTACTCCAGTCGAAAAGAGGAGAAGACGGGTATAAGATCTCTCAGTCCAAATCTTTATCTTTCAAATACATAGGTGTCGGTAACAAACGGGGGGGGGGGGAGCAATAAACCTAAAAAGGGTACGCTGCATTTTCAATGGTTATACGATGTATATATCTTTCCAAAAAAGGGGGGGGGGGTAGCCCCCCCATCCCCTCCCCTGGCCCTTCGCCCAGTCTCGATGTCTATGCTATACTCAAAGCATTCATATAATTATGTATTTACCTAACTGGTATGACGTTGAAAACTTTCAATAATAAATGAGTTAATTAAAACAGATGAAAACTAGAAATTTTAAAGTTTAGTAAAACGTATGAGAGAGAAAGAATTTTCATAGTTTTGAACAATCAAATTGGTCCCTTTTTATTATGATAAATGCTAAGTTGCTTGAAGCTGTCCTCTGTTAGTGCCCCCTATACACCTTTACATCTCAAAGACTAGAATTAAAAAAAAAGAGGGGGAACGAATTAATGAACTTAAACAATCGTCACTCTTTTTTTCAAGACCCTTTAATTTTCCCTTTTATCAAAACCTTAAATATTTAAAACGTCAATACCTCAGGTCCTACAGTGACTTTATCATAAAAAAGTTTTCAAACCAAGATCTGTTATTTATCATACCGATTATTTGAAGGAATATTGATCAATCTTCACATTTTTTTCAAAGTGCGTTAATATGGTTGATATTAACGCACTTTGAAAAAAAAATATTTTATTTCAAAGTGCGTTAGCTTGGTCCCGAAGAACTATATGCGGTATATTGAATATATTTGCCCCCACAAAAGTCAGATTTTGAAAACTTCCTGAAATGTGCTGAATTCAATAAATTGTTGAGAATATATAAATTCAAAGTGTATTCACAATTTTTGTTTTTATGACGTCACAAACTAGTCCGATTTAATATCCTTTTTCAGAAAGAGGACAAAATGGACAAAATTTCAACGCGCAAGTTTTTTCAGGAACAATATTGACATATTTCATTGATATTATCATTCTACACGTTATATCTAAATATTGATCCTGAACACACATGCGCTCGGTGACTTTTACTCAAAATATCGACGAAATATGTACATTTTTCTGTAAATTCATGAAAAACTGAAATTTAAGTCATGTTTGTTGGCGTCATTACTTATGAAAATATTCAGTATACTCCCCTGTTTAAGAACTTAATTAAATATAATCAAAGTTTGATTTGGGGGGCAAATATTGGTTGTTACCGAATAAAGTTCTTTTAACGCACTTTGAAAAAATTTTTCAAAGTGCGTTGTAACACAGCTTTATACAAAATATGCTAAAATTGCGGGAAAACATGAAGTTTCTGATTTCATATTTCTATATTAACGGCATTTTGATCAAATTGAAAATTAACAATAAAGGTCGCATGTATAACTGTGCAAAGTAAAGCTATATATAGATTAAAAGTAAGATATTCATTTTAGGGGGCCATTTGAGACACTTACCATATATTGCTCTTTACCTTCAAACTTGGCTTACACGGCAATTTCTTCGTCTATGACTTTTTAGACAATCGGGCTCATATTTATAGCGCTCATTTTCATAAACAATATAGCTCACATGGTAAGACCATTGAATCTACGTTTAAAATCCATGGTTCGAATCCACCTCTTGCCACAGTTTTATAAAAATTCTCGGTTTTTTAAAACACTATGTTAATTTTTTTTAAATAGAGGCTTTGGTATTTTCCTTTAATTGTCTAATTTAAATTGATATCCGCCCTTCTAATTTTTGTCTCGAAATTTGACCTGGAACGTAATATTTGTATTATTTCTGCTTAATGTACAAGTATTTACATAACTGTAGGTCTACATATCAATATCCTCACTCCCTTGAATTTCTGTCTATGATTTTTTTAATATCTAATACAATGTACAATCATCAACAGTCATATATTTTTTTAAAAATATTTCCGAGGAAAAAGGTTGTAAAGTAAATACATATATATCAAGTAAGTTATCAGGAATGGAAAGAAATGGCATTTTAAGCATATGTAAAGGAAACAACCTAGGGGCTTTGTGGCAACGCACTTTGAAAAAATTACGCACTTTGAAAAAATTTTTTAAAGTGCATTAAACTTGGGACAAAATCAACGCACTTTGAAAATTTTTTTCAAAGTGCGTTAAATTTGGGACGTACTCAACGCATTTTGAATTTTTTTTTCAAAGTGCGTTAAGAGTTTACATCAATATATTTTACCATGGATACACTTGACGCACTATGAAAAAAATATGTAAAAACAAAAATTCTGGTTTTAGATTTTAGTAATGGAAAGATTCTATGTCAGTGTTATTTATCTTTCAGTAAACCTATGAATTGATTTACTACCGTCGAGAAGAGGAGAAGACGTGTAGATCTCTCGGATTAACTCGTTTTCTTTTTTATACACAGGCGTCAGTAACAAATAAAACGGGGGAGGGGAGTAATAAACCCAAAAAAGGGTAAGCCGCATTTTCAATGCCTATATGATGTATATCTTTCCAAAATATGTGGGGAGGGGGAGGGCTAAGCCCCCCTTCCCTTGCCCTTCGCCGGTTATGATGCCTATGCTATACCCAAACAATAGATATGTATTTACATCACCTGTATGACGTTGAAAACTATCAATAATTGATTTAACTTAAAACAGTTGAAAACTAGAATTTTATAAGTACAGAAAAACGTTTGAGAGAGAAAGAATTTTCATAGACTTGGAAAATCAAATTGTCCCTTTTTCTTAAGATGAATGCTATTTTATAAGTCGTTCAGTTTTAGCCCCCCCCCCCCCTACATCTACTAATTTATTACAGACTAGAAATTGAAAAAAAGAAATAATGATATTAAACAATCATCTCTCTATTTCCCTTTTACAATATTTATCAAAATCTAAAATATTTACAACGTCAATATCTCAGGTCCTGAAGTGAACTTATTACCAAAAAGTTATCCAACCAGGGTCAATTATTTATTATGCCGATTATTTGTAAATACTGAGTATATTGATCAAGCTTTACATTTTTTTTTCAAAGTGCGTTAATATGGTCGATATTAACGCACTTTGAAAAGAAATTTAATTTTTTCAAAGTGCGTTAGTTTGGTCCCAAATTTAACGCACTTTGAAAAAAATTTCAAAGTGCGTAATTTTTCAAAGTGCGTGTAACAGGGCTTCAGAAATCTCAAGTTTGCAACTTTATTTGGAAGCCGTACGAAGGAAACTTGGCGGAAAATTCAAGAATTCTGTGGACAATGTAGGAAGCACGATATAAATCGGAGATTTCTCTGTTTTCCATAAAGTTTCCGATGGCGGAAAACTATTTTTACCATGTGCTTTCATCAATTTATAATTGTGTACATTTTTGTACTAAATAAGAAAATTAAACAATTCATGCACAGAACTGAACATTCTTTCAGAATATGACGACTTCTATTTTTAGCTTAAATTTGGAGAAGTTGTGATGCAGTGGTATGCTCAACAGGTGGATCCGCATTTGGGCTTGGAAAGAACCGATTTTGGAAGCATGACTTTCTACATCCACAACTGCAGCTCGCCCATTAACTGTTGCCTTAACCCACTTGTCATCGTTTGCTGTTTTCCATTATGGCTCTTCGGGGGTTCCTGCTACTGTGCAAGTCTTTTTATAGAAGTACTTATTGAGTTATGAATGAGATATATATATAGAGAGAGAGAGAGAGAGAGAGATAAACAATAGATCATAATTCTATAATGAAAGTATATTTGAAAACAAATATTCCACGGTCACAGGGTTCATTATAAATAGATGACAATTGTTTATTCCTCAAGATTGCGATGTTTTCAGTTTATCTTTTGTTGTTACTTTTTTGTTGTGACAAATGCTCTATCGCTTTGTCATTCTCGCACACAAGGCGCGATAACTGAATGTCTATCTACTTGAAATTAAAACTTTAATTTAAAAAAGTTTAAGGTATACAATTCAATACAATCGGTGCATTTTAAATACCTTCTCATCCGAGAATCAACCCATGTCAGCAAGTAAAGACTGTTGTTGACGTTTTACGAATTACCTATTTACAATTTAATGTGACTGACTGCGTTTGTTGCATTCTACATTGAATGTAATTTACAGACACTCCTCATTAGTTTTCTATTCATCATCCTCTAATTTTTATTATAATTTTTCTGTCTCTTCAAATCTTTCATTTATCATGTATCTATCTCATATTTTCACAATGAACATACAAATCCATGATTATTATGTACAATTTACTTAATATAAAGATTAGTGTTCATAATCTAGATGTACATCCCACCAGTACATACATGTAATTCAAATGTATCCAAAATAAAATTTTGCATTTATATGTATTTCACATCCAGAAGGAATTGGAATCAGAGGTCAATACCCACCCACCCCTCTTCCACGACAAAATAAAAAACAACCTTAAACCGGCATTAAAATAATTTTCTTTAATTTAGAGGGTTGTTTTAGCGTCAAGATTCAACTTTAAACAGATCTAAATCTGTGTATTAGATAGTTAAAACATACTTAAGTCACCGCCTAAGTTTTGCTAAGATAATCTTATTTCTTGTATGGAACACATTCTAGGTAGGTATTAAAAGTCTTTAAAGAATGTAGTGAAGAAATTTATTTGCAATGAAAGTGTCGAGGTTTATTTTTGATTAATTCAAAAACCTCAATTTTGATTTATTGTTAATCTGCAATTTCTTCTGTTCTTTGAAAATTTTAATTTCTAGTTTTGAAGTGTTATTCTTTAGCCAACGATCGACTTTTCTAAATTGGTATTTCATGTGATAGACCTCCAGTCGTACATATTCTTACTAAGGCTTGTGTATTTTGTAGATTCAAAGAAAAATGGATTGCATGGATGTATCTCATTGTTTTCGAGATATTCCTGTTAACTCGCTAACCCAAGACATCAAGGCTTGCTCCCATCTAAAGAATTCCTTCTCAATCCGTAAATGTTTTTCCTAATAATTTATAATTCTACTCAGAGGGCAACCCATTTATGCACTGAAACAATATTTATTTAAGACATCACCGCCAGATGAACCATATATATTTACATTTTTAATAGGATAAAAAATGCAATTAATAGTAACGTTTTTTTTTTTTTTACAAACTTTTATCATTAAATATGTACCAGGTAGTTCTCTTATATACACTTAATAATTTTATAACTTCGATTTTTGTCATAAAGCCTCTGTACAATGCTATCATTGTCTTTAAAAATAAATACAGGAAACAAAAACAGGCTTGTGGTTTTTAATTCTTTTTTGAAATGAAAATTACTTTGTACATATAAATTTTCACTGGATAAAATATTTTCCCTTAATATTCATGACTTTGAAAATATACACATATTTAAGTGAGAACTTAAATTTTGATATTTGTATCTGTATGGAATGTTCCACAGGCGACTAGATTCTGGAATTTGATCAACACGTTGTTCCCATAATCTTATTTCTGTATTGTTTGTCATAAATCTGATAAAATGATAATCAAATGACAAGATGAAGATAGCAAACAGTGATCAATCTCATAAAAATCCTCAAACAACACACAATTATGAACAGGATATTAAACAAGGACCGCTGGAAATTCCAGAAAGGTCCTCAAACAACACACAATTATCAACAGCTTTTACTTCAAAACTACTTATTAAAATTCAATTTTTATAACATATTTAAATTCAACATCAAAAACAAAGAACAAGATTTATGAGGGACTATTTCTTTTGGTGGAAGGATATTTAGCAGATAATTCTGCAAATCTGCACATTTATAAAATTTAATGTAATGGAAATTTAGCCTCACATAATTTTACTCGGAGAATATTTTCCGTTTTGATATTGCTAAAAATATTTAATATAGGTCTTAATTTATATTTTTAGACCAAGTTTTACACCTTCCCTCAACAAACTTTTCCAAAAAATGAAATATATTAAAGAAGTCAAGATCAAATTTACACCATTTTTTGCCTGAAAATCACATATTTTGACAAATATTTCAAAATTAACATCACTGACCCCACCTTTTTTCTTTCATTATTTTAAACTACTCGATACTTGTGACTGATCAGCACTTAAGTCGTAAAAAGTTTGATATAAGAAAATGTTTTATTGCCTATTAAGTTTTTTAATACCCCAAATATGTTATTTTTTAGTGCAAAAAGGTCACACAATAATTTACGCGCAATAATCTGCAAGATTTGTTTAATGATAAATATTACGTAAAATAAGATTATATTTATTGCCATGCTTACATCTGATCAAATATAATAAGGGTTAAAGTAATTAACCAAAGAGATGCAAAAAGGTCAACTTAAATGTACCGTAGATACATGCAAAACGATTTTGAGTTACACTTTATGAATACTTATCCAAAATATACTTCTCAAAAAATCCTTGATTTAACAAATTTCAGGAGTGACTTACCTTAAGTCCGAAGGTATTGATCAGGTAGATTAAACATTCCGTAGTCAAATTCTATACACAAAACAACGACCTAACGATTTGTATGAAACAGGTCAGCCAAAATACCATCCAATGTTACGTAAGATTTGCTAACAAAGTCATTATAACGACCATAGAATTCACGAAATGCTGACTTAAAACGACTTTGTTGAAATCTCTTTAACATCAACTTACCCGTCAGAAGCCTGTCTCGGTTTAAAAAATAATCTTATTCAGAACATGCTCTTAAGTATCAAATGAGCTATGAGACGTAAACACCGTTTGCAGATGAAAGCGGAATGTACCTACATAAATAAGGATCGTTATATGATTCAAAAGCTGAAGTCATCTTGTTTGTCATAGTATTTTGTTGAAGTTGACCGCCATCGTCTATAGTCAGTAAAACAATCAAATAAAAAAAAACTGATGTGGCAGGCGCTGTGGTGCCTTTTATTTCAAGTTCACTGGGATATATCAAGAATGAATGGAAGTAACTATTGTTAATTAATAAAACGCCGTGAAATATGGAGATAACGAACAGTATTTTTAGCTCAAAGGTCATTAAAACAATACGAATTAGGAGAAGAGCAAACACAGACCTCAAAGAAAGAGTTAAAATATTAAAAACTGAAATGTGGTCTTGAAGAATTTCCTTCCTTAAAAAGGGACATATGGGTATAAGTTGGATTACCACAAGCAGAATTAAATCCTAGTTACTAGTATTTAAATAATGAGCATTACAAAAAAGCACAATGCTGATACCTCCTTTTTCAGAGGAGACAATAATATATTGATATTGTAATCAATCTAATTCTTGTTATTTCAAAGAAATGGAAATGTATTCAATCTCAACATCCATTAAAGAAACATCAGAGGTGGGACAAAAAAGCACAATGCGTTGTCATGATGAAATAACGGAAAAAACCAATTCAGTTTAAATAATGGACTAACAATTGGTATGAAAAACGTCAGTCAGCATATATTGATAAATTGTATTGCTAATCAATCTAATTTCTTGACTTTCCACTTGTTTCATCAACTTGCTTGTCAATAATTTTGTTAAGAAATTGTAAGGATAGATGTTTTTCATATGGCCCCTCTATCGTTTAATCCAAGATTTCAACATCCATCAAATGCATTTAATCCATTTTAACCCATCTTCTGGGGTAATCTTCTACTAATATTCCTGAAAATATGAAGCCAGTTGAAAAGTGAGGGTTCCCTAAACTTTGCACCCTTATGTCATTTTTAAATCGAGTTTAGTTATTAATAAACAAGTTGATGTAACAAGAATATCAGCAGTCTCGTTTAAAGTCATGATATCGAAAGTTTTTTTTTTTTTGGTCGATACAATGACCTTGTCAGTAAATATTAATCTATGTTCAAGTCAAATGCCGACTGACGGTTTATATACTCAGTACTTATTGTAAGGCCATGTTTTACTCCCAGAATTTCCAAAAGATTTTTTTTCGTTATATCCCGAACTTGACAAGGAGCACACGGCGGGTGTGATCGGTCGGCAGGGGGAAAATGAATTAAAACAGAATGCTACTGTCCGAATAAAATAAAATCTTATACATATGGAGGAGCTCCTCCATGGCATATTATCCCACCTCTGATGTTTTAGAGGTCGGTGTTTGCTCTACTCCAAAATGTGTATTGTTTAATGGACTTTTTACGTAGAATAAATAAAATCTGTTTTTTATACATGATTTAGACAGGAGGAGTACAATATTCACTCGAAGGGCGAAGTGAATACAGTACTTGGAAGGTGGCTAAATCATCGTATTGACCGCAAAAAAACAGCAATAACTGTTTTATTATATGAATAAATGATAGCGAACTCCTACAAGACTGTTTCTTTGCTTTAATGGAAAGCTTTAACAAGAAATTTCAACAAGAACACATTCTAACAGAAAAAATTGAACAGGTAAATAAAATGTGTATTGTATTGACCTGGAACGTCACGTGCAGGTCAATACAACGTAGTATTTTTCTAACATAGTTGGTTCTCAGCCAATCAGAGAGAAGGAAATTATTCAATCATATAATAATGATCGTTATTTAAATTTATTTTGTTACTTACCTCTATCCATTTGAGAATCACTATTTTGGATAAGTCATTTGTTTAAAAGTATACATAGACTATATTTGCATTGATTGTTTGTTAGTGGCATGTGATGGCACTTTTCTATTCTTTTTTTCAGTTTTATTTTCATGCTCTTATGTTACAGTATATAATGCATTAAAGTTGTAAGAAAAAAATATTTGGAAATAACACAGAATTCAAGCTCAAAAGTCCATTTACAAAATAGGAGCAGAGCAAACAGGGACCTCTAAAAATCAGAGGTTGGATCAGGTGCCATGGAGGAGTAAGCATCTCCTGCCGACCGGTAAAGAACGCCGGAAGCTCTTTGTCATGATTGGGGAACACAAGAAAAATCTGTCGCAAATTCAGTGTGAAAATAATGGACGAACAAGTACTACGAGGGTTTATCCAAAAGTAATGTCACTTCGATAAAATCGCTACTCGTCGACGTAAAACAACAAAATTAATTAATGATGAAAGCTACATTTATTTCAAATCAGACCTGCAAATTTCAATTTAACATGATTTATACTTTTCAAAATATCGGATTATATATAACATGCGATTATGGTAGCCGCCGCACCTAAATAAAGTCATATGACGGATACGCGCAGTCATACATTTCCCTTCGTTTCATTAAAAAAAATTTTGAGATCCATGATTGCGTTCACAAATTCCAGAAAACTTGGTACCCATCGTGTACCCACTCTTTCCATAATTGATTCGTCTGTAAAAATTCTTTGAACAGTAGCATAAGACAAACTTAAAATTTCACATATCGCTCTAACCGTCTGTCTCATGATAATTAAGAAATAAGATATCATTTTTAGAAATATGTTTGAAAATATAAATATAAGAAATAAAATATCATATTTTAGAGTTTCATTGGCATATGACATGAAGTCGGTCATGTGATCAAATTCTATAACGCCCGAATTTTTTTTTTTTTTTTTTTCCAGATTCATGTTGTGAGCTTAACAATTTATTTTTATGACTGTGAAACACATGTAGCTGAAACTTATAAACTTCTCATGTAGGGACAGGGCGAAATAAGTTTTAAGAACTTGTGCCCAATCCCATTGTATATATCGATTACAATAGAATATGTTCAATTCAATTCAAACTTTTATTAAGCAATTTACCATATCTATTGTAACTAGAGTTTATGTTCCCCAGTTGATTTGATATGCAACATACGAACGATTTTTAAAAGAAGTCTGCTTTTGACCAATATGATGATGTAAAGATATCAACAGTGTAAAGTTTTACAAATTGGCATTTCCAATAAAATAACCTTGTTTGTCAGTGCAAACAGCGGTCATATTTAAATGTTGACTGATGTATTTCAAATAAAAATGTAAGGTCTCTTTTAACTGAATAGTTGACGATTTTCTTTCCTTTTTTGTTTCTTTGTCCATCCATGATACCAAGTACACTGTAAATTATGAGCTGGGGATGCTTACTTCCATATGGTTTTTGATCCGACCTCAATTTTGAGTTGTCTTTGTTAGTTCTTCTCACAATTTGTATAGTTTATAATTATGGACTTTTGAGGATGTTCTTTATCTTGACATTTCATCTTAATGTCGAAAAACGATTAAAGATTCTCGAAAAATT